TGAATTAAAAATACCTAATATGCAAATGTAATAATTTTCTGTATATATACAACTGGGTCTGCACATCTGTTATCATTATGAACATCTTTTAAAATAAGACCCAAGGACAGGAATGCTTTACTAACCTGCAGTGGTCTCTGTTTATCACTGCTCTTAGGAGATTTCAATCCACTTGTTTGCTGCTGTAAAAGAAGTTGTCTTGCTGCCTGGAGAGCCTAGAAGTAAAAAGGGAACAATATCTAAATATTTGGTTAAAAGTTAAATTTATTATCAGTTATTCCTCAGTTAATAGTAAAAAGCTTCAATGTATAAGAACCCCCATCTTCCTTTCTAGAAAGAATCATTCTTTATCTTTCAATATGCAAAAAAAAAAAAAAATTGCACACATGTATACAACTTTTCTCAAAATCACGGAGATGCATGTAATGCTGCAGGAAATAAAGTTAATTTGCTTAAAGTGCTTAAAGAGGAAAAAAATCATAAACTGCATCAAAAACCTCATTTCCACAAGGAACTTGTCTTTGAGTGTTCAACTAAAATGCCCACTCCCTTTAAAATTATCATTCAATTTGCATTTTCATATTACAATTTTGAAGCAAAAGCAGTAGACTTCAAGTGTTACCGGAAGCTGTAATTAAATTTGACAAATCAACATCAGATTATCTTGAAAGTGAATTAATAAGGATTTTCACTAAAGATTAAAAACACTTTTTTTGTACTTACAATTCAAGGGGAAACCTCTCCTTTGACAAAATAAAGTGCAGTTTTAATGCCAAATAAAATTGAGTGGTTTTCATTTGCATTCTTAGCAAAATCAGAGAACAAAGAAATTACCACTCAACCAATCAGGTTTGTTTCTATGTGTGACAGAATACCAATCAAAATAGAAGATGTTTTCATTTATTTTTATGTTTTCTTTCCCACTCAGGAAAATAAAACTTAACATAAGAAATTAATGTAAGCATTTCATTTACTGGAGGGGGGGAATGATTTGTAAATGTACTACATAAACTTATATAGAAACTAGTGACACAAAACAAAATGTATATTAAATTGTTTTAAAGGTAGCAGTATAAACTAATTTAAAAAAAGAAAAAAACTTTCCAGAGCCTCTTCAAAAATTCATTTTCTCTCTGAACAACTGAGTTCAATGAACACTAGTGATGAAATTTTTCAACATATAAAACTGAAATAAATCATTGCCTTACTGTGTTATTCACTGTTTTGGAATACAAGATAAATTTTTCATAATGGGAAAAACATTATTATACTAATATTACTCTATAAAAATTAAGATTCTCAGCTGATAAAAAGTACAATTTTGTTTGGAATCAATGATCTGGTTTTTAAGAGTTTCTAGTATCCATGACAACAGTTGCTTTGACAAGATGTGCATATGGCATTACACTGCCAGCTGGTGTGAACAATGTTTGAACTACTGCATTGAGATGCTGAGCAAACAGAAAAAGTTGCCACGTCTTAACCCTCAGGGAAGGCAGTCATCCCCTGATCAATTATGAAAAGACAGAGAGAGGGCTGCTACAGTCTGGCTCCGAGCAAGTTTTTAGAGAAGGCAGGCAGACATAGAAACCAAAGTAAACAAACTGAATGCACTAGCACCATCTCCTAACAACATTGATTTGTCTTCCCACAGCTGGATATGGCACAGTTTGTAAAGCACACTTTTTACATTTGAAGACACCCTCACAATAATCTTCCTTTTGTTTTTTAAACTTTTCAAGTAATTACAAGTCAGCCTGAATATTTCTAAAGAAGACACATTCCAGTGAACGCAGGCAATTTATGAGAGTTCAGTTTGAAGGAAACACAAAAAATAATTACTTTATTATCACAAACCTCACTATTTGAAAAATTTACACTCCATATCCTAAATAATATACCATTCTTTTAGTTGCAATTTATAAAATAACTACAATGATATTTCTCTTCAAATGGAAATTACTATAGTGTGACCTAGACTGTGCCTATGTGAGATTCTCAAAATTAAACATCAGTCAATTATTTTCCCATTTGATGCCAAACAAGGTTTGCCTAATTTTTTTCATGTAATTGTTTTTTTCTTTCAGTTGATTAGTTTATTTTGTATATATAGAGACTTATTTGTATTAAATTCTGCAGTCATTTATTATCCTTAAAAAATTCTAATGAACACAGTTTACAATCTTGGAATTGTGAATGACTAAGATTCAAAGCAATCTTAGAAATTATCTAATCTGACCCTTTCATTTTAGCAAATGAGAAAAATGAGGCCTAGAGTAATCAATTGCTTTGTTCAAGGTCACAAAGCAATTTATGAGTGCTTTGTTCAAGGTCTCCTGGCTTCCAGGCCAGAGTGCATTCCATTGTGCCATATTGTCTCTGTTCTATCAAAGAAATCCTCAGATGGCAATGAATCAAATTCTAGAGAAGGAGAATATAAAAAATCATAATGAATTATTCTTTACCTGTAAAGAGAGCATATCCATTTTTCATAACTGAAAAGGG